TGCATTCAAAACTACTGCTTAAAATAAAAATCTGGAAAGATTAAAGTAAAATTCCATAACTTAGAAAATCAGGTGCCATTTGAGATCCTTTAATTAGAGATGTGACCATTTGGAAATCAGTGCTGTTCATAGAGTTCATGAGAAAATGGTAATAAAACAATTTTCATGTGCATTTTTATTTCTTTAGAAGAGTATGTACTTAAATATAATACTCCTCTGCCCTCTTGGGGAATGTATTCTTAGTCATAAAATGTAGTTTAAGTGTATCAAGAATTTTAATTTATCTAGACAAAACTTCAATTGAGGAAAACTATCTCATGAAAGGGAATTAAATTAAGAAAATGATCACAAGATGAAATTCCTTTAGAGAGATTTTTCTTTCAACTCTAAACCGTACCTGAAACGTGAACTGTAATAATACAGTATGATTTTCAGGTAGGTTCGTAAACTGCTTTTATACATCTCCTTCCTCCTCTCCCCTTCTCTCCTCCCCAAATATTCCATCTGAAGAGCTTCAAATCACAGATGTACTCAGGCTCGGGTGAGTGGCTGTCTTAGAAAATTTTTAATCAGAGAAAATCAGAAGAGAAGAGCTAATACCAGGAGCGTTCTTTTGGTAGATTTTAACAAAAAGAAGGCAGATTTCATCTGTGAAATGTCCAAGGCAGGAAGACCCTTATGCTCAGAAATGGGTCATGACCCTCGATGGCTGGTGTTGGGGAGCAGTTGTGTACTTCTTGGGCACCCCTGCCCACCCAGCAGCTTCCATTTCCCCCAACACACCAGTCAAGAGAAGCATGTGTACTCCACTTTCCCATGCCACAGCTAGGGATCCTAGCCACTTGATTCCATGTTAGAGTGGGATTTGCTACCACAAATTGCTTGGATTACCTCCACAAAGTTAGATTTAAACCCTAGAATCAGGTAAATAATCCTGTGCTACCCTTATATTCCAAAATAGAAGAACAGTATATAGTAGAATAGTAGAAGGGGTACGCTTTTCAACAGTAATTAGAAATATTAATGAGATTTTATTCCATTCAGTTCCAGGAAGTATGCGTTAAAAAGCGAACTACCAATCCAAAAGGAAAATACCCTAAAAAGCAGACAGACGTGTTTACTTAGTTCGTGAGAATCAAGCGCTGAGATGGGTGCTCAACCAAGGAACTGAGGGAAATCTGTCCTGTTCTTTTCCTCTTGCCACACAGCTGTGAAATCCTCTGACCTTTGCATCCATGACACATACATTCTATGATCCTCCTAATACCAGAAGTTCCAGCAGGATCCGGGCAGTAAATCGTTGTAGAATGCACTCAGATATCTTTAGCCACCTAGTAATTGCCCAGCTTCTTTTATGAAGAGGAATGAGAGGCATGGGCGGGGGAGGGACCCCAGGTGTTTTTTCAGAGCGGGCTTTCTTCCCCTCCTCTCATCGGAAATGAAAATGAAGATTGCCATTGTAACGCGCATTGTCGACGTAGCTGTGATGCCTGCCAATCAGTTAGAGCCTTAAAAAGAAAACAAAAACAAAAACTGGTTTGGTTTTTTTAAGAAAAGAAAATAGAACAGTTTATAATGAATCTTCTTAGAATTATTGAGGTCTGTTGGGACATAGATAACATAATTTACAGGTTTAGATAGAACCCATTCTTGTAAAAAAAAATACTAGATCAGTTTATCTTACTAAATAATCTCTCTTCCACCCTCTATCCACTCTCCATCCTGAATTTCTATTCAGAAATTGCGTGGTACAAATAGGAACATCTTGGAAAAGTTGTAATACCTCCTGTCCAAAGTGCAAAGACACACAGAAATAAGTATAACCATAAAGAACAACTTAAGAGATAAAAGCATTCACTTACCATTCCTCTCAACACATGCATAGCTCACCTATTTCTGCACTGTTACATGGAAATTAAATCTGAATGAGAGGCTGCCCACCTGCTATTTATAGTGACATCCTGGCCTAAGTGAAGACATTTTACAGGTCTGGAGATGAAGGTTAAAAATGTATACAGAAAAGTATATTGACAGGAATGCTCATAAAGATGCTGGCTAAACGCCTTTGAGTTCATATTAAACTAAACCGAAGGGCTGTTGGAACCTCTAGTTTGGGATCTGAGAACTTTGGTTTTGTTAAGAATTTAAACAGTGGGCCTGTAAACCCCAATCCATTATTATGGTTAGCGTTAAGGCACTTTGCCCTTCATTCACATGAAAATATAGATTGTTCATGATATGTATGTTCTTGTCTTTCTGGTGCTCCCAGAAATGAACATGTTCACCTGATTGCAAAAATGACTTCTTAACCTTGTAGGTGAAGATTTTAGGGTTGGATTGTAAGATTTCACTTATATGGGATAGATGGAACCCAAACGATTTGCATGTAGAGATAACTAATGAAGCATTAAGAATTAGGAATCACAATACCAGCTTCACTTAAGCATTGTAGCGATTAAAAAGCATTTTTTATGAATTTTGTTAATGGTGTAAGTCTTTAGTAGAAATCCCAAATAATCACAAAGTTTTGGAGTGTTTCAAGAATACTGACAAAGTAGATGTGACCTTTTGTGTGAGTGTGTCTGTTTGTAAAATGTCTAATGTTCTGAATTATAGAATTATAGAAGTAGGAAGTCACATTTCAGATTGTAATTTTTTTATCTGGTTCCCAAATCAGTGGTAATTTGCACAGCCTTTTTGTGAAACTCCATACAAATCAGGCAGATTTTTATGACCTGCATTACCTGTACATGTATCTTGGTTATAGTTAGCTATATATGTGTGCATGCACACTCATCATCTAAAAGTGGCCTTGTTTGAATGCTGTACTAAAGTAAGTGAAGCAGGGCTCCCCTGGTGGCGCAGTGGTTGACAGTCTGCCTGCCGATGCAGGGGACACAGGTTCATGCCCCATGATCCGGGAGGATCCCACATGCCGTGGAGCGGCTGGGCCTGTGCTCCGCAGCGGGAGAGGCCACAGCAGTGAGAGGCCCGTGTACCGCAAAAATAATAATAATAATAAAGTAAATGAAGCAAATTACTGTGTTAGATACATACCTTTTTTTCTTCATTTATCCAGAGGGAGTTGTTACAAGCTGTGACAAAATTTAAAATTTTTCCAGAATAATGAAAACAAGTTGTTACTATCCTAAATATAACTTATTTTTTTCTTTTTCAGAGAATATTTTGAAGTGACTTTGTCTTATCTGTGTATGCACTTAAAATGATCCAATTTAATTAAGTATTTTGTTTGGTTACTTTTAAAGCCAGATAACTCATCAGAATGGTTTGCAAGTCTGTCCACATTTTGTGGGACATGGGATAGGATCTTACTTTCATGGACATCCAGAAATTTGGCATCATGGTAAGAAAGTTAGTTTGGGAGCTGCTTATTGAATGTAATCAGGATAAAGCAGTTTTGCTCCTGAATCCCTTGCTGCAATTTTGAATCCACAATGTCATCCTTTCCTATGAGTGTGTGGGTGGGAATGGGGGGGTCCTACCTAATCGTAACCAGCACATTGCTATGTTATTGAATTAGAGCCCAGCCGTTTCAGTCCCAAAATAAGGTTTGTTTTGCTTTTTGTCTCCTGAAGGGTGATGGCTGGAAGGCACAAGGGATATTTGTCTAGAAAAAGTTACTGAAAACAAAACACCACAGCATCAATGTCCCAGCAGTATGCACATATGACTGTTTTCTGTTTTTCTTTTTCTGCCCCCTTCTCAAACCGCTGACTGTTGTGGTTAAACTTCATTACATCCTACACAGCGTTGACAGCTGATGTATTTAGCAGCGTGTACTCTTAGTGATTTCTAGATTATACCCACCCTGTGTTCTTTCCCCAGAATCTCCTGTTTTTCACTGCCTGGATCTGTACCCTACAGTGAGAAAGCAAGGGTGGGCCAGAAAGTGGGGGGGGGGGTATTGGGTTAGGGTAGGAAGCAGTTCTGTGGAGTGCCCCCAAGGGGGATGCATACCTGGACAGGGGCCAAAGGAAAGTTGGCCCTAGAGCCTTGACCTGTGTGCTTGCGGTGGGAGCAGCCCCTGGAGGAACTACTGGCTGGAATCCATCCCCTGGAAGATCCCTAGAGACTCAGCAGGTCAGAACTCCCTTTGGGCCAAAGAGCTCCACCAGAGGCAGCTCATAAGAGGCCCAGGCTGGAGTGCAGAAAGGGTGTCTCAGGCATGTGCCTACCCAGCGCCAGCACCTGGAAATATTTCAAGTCACCCCTGTTCTTGCCTTCTACCAACCTGCCTTCCCTTTGACTCAGTTCCCAAGATGTCTTACTCTTTGGGTTGGAGGTGTGGAGGGCAAGGTCCAGGACCCAGCGAAGCCAGGAGACCTCAGAGCAAGTGGCCAGGGGACAGCGGAGAGGGGGAGCCCAGCAGGTGTCTCAAGCACCCAGGCTGATTTTGCTTAGCCTTGGTGCACCCTTCCTAGGGGTCCTGACCCCAAGCTCAGAAAATGCAAAGGCTGAGGCCTAGGAGCCCTGTGCTTATTAACCCATGGGTGGTAGCTACCACCCAGGATTCTAGAAACCTCCACCCTTTCTTCCTAAAAGAAAAAATAAATAAGATAACCATGTTTTTTGAGTAGCCTAACCCCTCTAATTCCGTTTCTCTCTGTCCTCTCCATTTCCCATTCCTGCCCCCCACACCCATTGTTTTCTGTTTTTGTTTTTGTTTTACAGTGAATGACAGCGATCTACGCATGGAGGAGGGCATGGCGTTCACCGTGGGTCAGTGCTGAGCTCCTCTTCAGAGATCCGTGGATCCCTTGTGGAAGCAGCGGCGCTGGCCTAGGCCAGGCAGTCCAGTTGAAGGGCTAATAAAGCCAATCAGCATAATTAAATAATTCAGATGCATAGTAAATCTGATTAAATAATATCCTCGAGCCCCATCTTCCTAAATCAGATACTTACCAACACATTTAGGAGACGGCAGCCGTCCAACCTTTTAATTCTGTTACCAGTGTAATGTGGTGTTTGGGTTTTTTGTGTTGTTTTGTGGGGTGTTTTTGTTTTTGTTTTTCATTAACACCCAGTAACTAGGGGCATTTATGTCCCTTGCTCCCTGTCAGCTAGTGACATACTCTCTGGTAACCCATTCCTGGCTGATCATGTGACTGGTATCACCACCAAATTCCAATCACCTAAGACCCTGAAGGCCTCATATTTCTGACTGTGGGGCTTAATGGAGAAGCAATTAGAGCGAAATAAGAAAATTGTTATTTGCTGATTAATGAACATTTTGAGCATGTTTTAAAAATTCAAATATTTTAAAAAACTGACTGGTATTCATAAGAGGGACTGGTGTTTGGGTGGTTATTATCCACAGGGTCCTAATTAAGGCTTGATTAAAATGCCCTTTTTTCCTCTAAAAAAAATTACAAACTAGGCAACTTCATAACATTTTTGAATGCCATAGCGTTTCCTCTGCCTACTGTTTGGTTTGTAGCATACTATGTAAGCAACATCAATTATCAGCGCTTGCGAGATGACAACATGAGCCCGTGGGGGGAAGCACTTGGAGGGAGCGGGGAGAACCTTTTTATTCTCTTTTTTGATAATGAGCCGAAACAATGTTTAACAAGAATCTGATTAGATCACTGCAGTAAATATTTTCCCTCTTACAGAGCCAATTATAACCGAGGGATCCCCTGAATTTAAAGTGCTGGAGGATGCATGGACTGTGGTCTCCTTGGACAATCAAAGGTGTTTGCTTTCTGCCCGGTTTCTTTTAAATTGTATAGAAAGGGAAGGTTCGTCCGACAACGAGGGCGAGCTGCTACTCCCCGCCCCGCAGGCGCTTGAGCGCTTGCTGATCGCTGCCTTGTGTGTTTCAGGTCGGCCCAGTTCGAGCACACAGTTCTCATCACGTCGGGGGGCGCGCAGATCCTGACCAAACTGCCCCACGAGGCCTGAGGAGCCACCCAAAGGTCGCAGAGACCCGGCGCCTTTTTTCTTAAATTGCTGAAATCCAACTAGAGAACTTTGAGAAGAAACAGGCTAACGGCCTGTCTCACAGTAAGCTACCTAGCACCTAGTAGCGCCTTGGGAAAACGCGGTGGGGATCGGTGGCCGTTGAGAGCTCAGATCCGAGGCCCCGATGTGGCCGTGCGGCTTCGGAAAGACGGGTCCTGGCGCCGGGCTCTGCTTCCCAACGCGGGAAACGCATCTGGAAGGGAGCGGGGACGCCCTCATTTGGAAGACGAGGGATTCCTAGAAATGCATAGCTTTCTCTTTCCC